CTGAGAAAGTATGTTGCTCGATATAATCAAACATGTTTGGAGGTGCACTCAGCGTCGGATGAGGTGAAAGCAGGTGGATTGATTAGGGGTCTTCGAGTGGGGCCTTGTCGAACCTCCCTGGCTAAGACCCGTGCTCGATCATATGAGGACGTTTTGAAACGATGCAGGAAGTACATTAATCTGGAGGAGATGGAGATGAAGTTTGCAAAGCTGGAGGGGGCGGCTCGACCAGAGCCAAAGAAGGGGAAGAGCCCGCAAAGGGGAAGATCACCGAGGAGGAATTCGCCCAAGAGGAGTGGGCCGAAAAGAGCATCGCCCAGGAGAGAGGTTCGAGATTTGAAAAAGGAAAAAAGGTATGAATGGCAGAGAAGGCCACTGTCGTTCGAAAGACAGAGGTATCATAGTTTTACACCCTTGAGGAAAGATTTAACAGAGGTGCTCGAGGCTATGGAGTAGAAGATGTCGAGCGAGGATGTGACGTGACCGAAGACGAGGTTTATAGGCCCGATTCGACCCAGGTCGGATATTTACTGCCGCTTTCACCGAGATTACGGCCATACCACGGAGAACTGTAGTCATTTGAAGGATGAAATTGAGAGGTTGATTCGAGCAGGGCACCTGAAGGAGTTTGTGTATCCTGACAGGGCGAAAGGAAAATGGAAGAGAAGATGTCGGGAGGATTCCGAGGAGAGAAGTGATAGAGATGAGGACGGTGATGATAGAGATGGACGAGATGGTCGAGGAAGGAGGCCGAGGAGAGACGCTGATAAAGGAGGCGAAGCCCCGTTGAAGAGAGGAACGATTTATATGATTTCCAGAGGGCCGACGGATGGCAACTTGAATCACGGTAGGAAGGAACATGCTCGAGCTGTGAAAAAGAAGAGATAGGAAGTGGGGATTACGGCTCGTATGCCGGTGATAAGTTTTAAAGCGGAGGATGCTGAGGGAGTGGTCTTACCACATAATGATGCCTTGGTGATTACCGCGGAGGTCGCATGCTTTGATGTGAAGAGGGTGTTTATTGATACCGAGAGTTCGGTAGATGTGATGTTTTATGTCTGTTTTGTGCAGATTAATAAAGAGCTGAACATGGAGTTGAAATCGGTGGCCACGGCGTTATACGACTTTAACGGAGGAGAGGTTATGCCGATAGGAGAGATCAACCTGCCCGTGGCGCTGGGATCAGGAATGATGAGGAAAGTCCGGATGGTGAGGTTTGTGGTCGTTGGGGCTGAATCGTCTTACAATATTATAATAGGGAGAACAAGCTTGAATGCATTCCAGGCGGTCGTATCCACGTACTACATGACGATCAAATATCCTGTGGGCGTAATTCCCCAAACGGGCTAACCAGGACCGGACCACAAATCTAAAACCTCCATCCGAGACCGCAGATCCGCCCAGGCTGGTACACCACCACAGCCCCCCTTCCCAAGAACACTCTGCAGCCGCCAAAACCTCGCCACCGCCACCGGAGGTCCCAGCCTGACCAACACCAGGAAAACCAATTAACGGTAGAACCAAGGTCTGGCCTCCACCGAAGACCTCCACATGGGCGTCAACGGTGACCGCTGGACACGGCACCGGCCGCAACTCGCCTCAATCACTCCATCCATGGCGCTTCGGGAAAAGAACGAGACCACTTCTGGGATAGAGCGACGCGAAGCCACCGCAGTCGTACCGGATTTAGGGATTTTGGTTTTTTAGAGAGAGTTTTTGTGACTTGTAACAGTTTTATAAAATATAGTCTACACTTATTCTACTCTACATTTTGTACAGTTCATTTCTTATATATACTCATTTAAACATCGGAGGCTTTTCACTGAAAATCCTTCCGGTGTGAGAATTTTTGCAGGTCGAAGGCGTTCAACCAGCGACGGAGCATGCGAGCAAGCCGTTTCCGGCCGGTCGAGGGTCTTTTTGTACCAGCATATATTTAAAATTTTTGAAATTGCCTCTCAAATCTTTTTGACGTTATGTTTTAAAATTATTTGGGCTCACGTGATTAAATGCAAAGTATTATGTCACTATAAAAAAAATACTACAATTCCAACGAAAAATTCCAACGGCAACAATTTCCGTTGGAAATTTCAATGAATATTCCAACAACTTAATTTTATGTTGGAATAAGTGTTGGATAGTTGAGGAATTCCAACGGATTTTTTCCGTTGGAATAGCTGTAGGAATTTATTTCCATAGGATTTTTCGTTGGATATTTGTTATTCCAACAGAAGTTTTTCCAACGGATTTTTATACGTAGGAATATCGGTTGGAATAGCTATTCCAACGGAAATATAAAAAATTTCAACAGAAATTTTCCGTTGGAATGTAAGAGTTTTTTTTTTAGTGTGTATTACCCAAGATTAAATTTTGGCCTCATGACAGTATACAAAAAATCTTATAAATTATTTACTTATAAAATGTCAATCATTCTATAAGAGATGTTTAAGAAGCACAATAAAACAGGTTTAAAAGTTTAAATTTGGGAAATCCACACACTAAAACAGGTGAAATCTTTTGGAATTTGGACTTAGCTTTCATGATATAATTTTGAGAAGACAACGTACATAACTGAAGCCCGTGAAGTTGCATGTGAAGATAAAAAAGACGAGTTGTAATCAGTGCCTTTCACAACTTAAAAGACCCACTCACGTGTCCTTTTGGCTCTTTTTTAACATCAAATAGCAATCATAACATTTAATTTCATTGTTTATATACAAAATTATTAAATAAATTAATTATACAATTAAGCATATGTTTTGGTGACAGGTACATGATTCAGATGTATGTAAATGTTTAAATTAATATTTCAATTAAATTCATGTATTACTTCCTCCAAGTCAGCCTAAATTAGTATTGAGATAGTTTATGCTCTAGGGAGATGTTACGGTCCCGTTACGGAACTATTCCGTCGTGGTTTGTAACCGTTAGACCAACTATCATTAACGGTCACACGATGATCTAACGGTTACAAACTCCAATTAATAATAATAATTAAAATAAACTCGAAAATTACTGATAAGGTATAAATTATAAGCTAGTGTATCAGCTAGTATTAAACGTAGCCTAAATTTTCAAAAAAATAGGTGGTGGTTTATGCTATAATTGGGTATTAATGGTAAAAAATATTGTCCAAAATAAAGGCTCCAATTAATAATATAATGAGTAAAAAAACCCAAACCAAATTGTTGGCATGGATAGTAATGAGAAGTGTCCTTAGCTGCAAGCATATTTACAGGCGCCAAAATTGGACCATCTCATTAAAAAGTATATACCAAAAAACTCACAAAATTGTAGTGCCCAACATTTAATTCCAAGAGTGCAAAAGAGTAGAAAACACACAATTCCCATCATATAGACAATTGGCTACTGTCCACAACACTTGAAAACCACACACACACACACACACACACACACACACAAAACTTTCCTATAAAAGCTATGGAGCCATTGCTCTGTTTTCTCATGCCAAACTCACACAAAACAGGAAAACTAAAAGAAAGAAAAAAAATTCTCAAACACATAATGTATAATTTAAGCTTAAAAAATGTGACATTCATTGTTTGCATTGTCCTAGTCATGTGGTCTTCAAGCATGGAGACTTGTAATGCAAGGAGAGTTGGGAGACATTGGAGACAATCTCTGTACAAAAAGAAGGGAAAAAGCCATGGCTCGAGTCAACACAAGTACAAACACAAAACCCGGCCGCCATTGCCGCCGGCTGGAAGTGTGAAAAGCCCTCCTCCGGCAGTTCCACCGCCACCATTGCCGCCGCCGGCAGTTGGTCCTATACAAGAAGATGAACCTAATGTTTTCCATGTCTTGGATTTTGGAGCCAAAGGTGATGGAAGCACAGATGACACCAAGGTAAAAAAATAAATATTTTTTTAAGTCTCTGCATTTTTTTTTTTTTCCTCTTCCAATTCATTTTTAATTTTTTTGTTTCCTTTTAATTATTTTAAACGTCGTATTAGTTAATGCGTAATTTCAGGGTCGGACCTAAGCAGGGGCGCGGGCCCGGGCCCTGTGCAATTTTTATAAAAAAATTAGTACATATATATTTATATTGTAAAATAATTACAAGAGATTTTTTTAAAAATTAAATTGTTTGCATTTTATATTTGTATTATGTTGTTGGAAACAATATATAAATGAAAAGACAACATTGATTTCGATACACATTGAATTTTAAGTTTTTTAAATTATAATTGTAAGTTTAAAATTAACTAATAAACTGTGATTTTCGTTGATTTTTTTAACTTATTTATTTACTATAAAAAAGTCCACGAACGCTGTCGTTGTAAGAATATCCAATGCAAAAGAAAAAAAAAAGTTGGTATTTGAAAAATATACGTTTAAATAGATTTGGTTTTATGCAATTATGAGTGATATAATATATACGAACATGCAGAGAATATACATCATTTTTTTCGCACTTTGTAAATGTTACGTTTGTGCCCCTCAATTTTGTGAGTCTACGTCTGCCCCTTCATAATTTGGTGTATATAACTTATTATTAAGTCCTAATCATTGTCTTCTTCACTATTGTAAATATTTAGGAATATAATGAAATTTGTTGCATAGGGGAATTTTTTGGTTGGGCTAGTGTGTTTGTTGAGGGTCACATGAGCCACAACTATTAAAATTTGACGTGGACATAAAATATTCATTCATGAATATTTGAGGATAAAAGTAAGGTATCTCGTGAAATAATTCTATCTTTACATGTATGGATTGGTTGATAAAGTACTCATCAAATGCCTACCACCCACCCACGTATTGTTTGGCAACAAACAAAACAATTATGAGTAAGAAAAACTACTAACTGCCAACACAATAAATAAACTAAGGAATAAGGGGACCACGTAAATAATATTCTCCTTCGTATCGGTTCTATTGAGATCGTGCGATGACATACTCATTTTTCCTCACATACCCGTTTATAGAAGTCTATTTCTGGTAGGATTTAGGCACCCAACTACGTATATGGGTTGGGCTTTTTTATAGACTCACAAGTGACGTTTGGTATTAGAATATTCACTTGTGAGTTGTCCCACATTGTTTTATGGGGAAAATAGGCGTAATTTATAAATTTAATGGGATACTTCTCCTACCACCAATTGATTTTGGGATAGAACCTCACTTGGATTTCATCTGAATTTTCCCTGTTTATGGTGCGCTTCACGTGCGTGGAACTGCATCTGTTTTTTCTCGGGTTTCTTACAATATTATTATTATTAATATATCGTAATTCCAACAATATTTATTTATTACTAAAATAAAAGAATAATATTACTATTTACTAATAATAATAATATTACTATTTATTATTATAAAATATAAAATAATAATATTACTATTTACTAAAATAAAACAATAATAAAGTACTCATCAAAGGTTGTGGTGTGGTGTAAAACGCAGGCATTCCAAGCTGCGTGGGCAGCTGCTTGCAAGGTTGAAGCCTCTGTAATAAATGTGCCCGCAGAGTATGTATTTCTGGTGGGACCCATTTCGTTTTCCGGCCCATACTGTCAGCACAACATTGTTTTTCAGGTAAATATTATTTGTTTCCCTTTGTCTTGATTTCTGTTTAAAGGTGTAATAAAAATTAATGCACACAAGGTGTTTGTTGAAATGTCTAGTTGGATGGCACAATAATTGCCCCCAAAAGCTCCGGCCCTTGGGGTTCGGGCCTTCTCCAGTGGCTCGAGTTTTCCAAACTTGTCGGGCTTACGATCAAAGGGAGCGGCTTAATAGACGGAAATGGGGCCGTTTGGTGGCAGAGCTCTCCTTTTGACGACGACCCTTTTGATGATCAAGCCAAATTCATTGTCCCTTTGAACGCCACGACCACACAAAAGCCTCCAATGCCTGTAATTAAATTTTGATATCTTCTTTAGTTATCTTAGCATTTTTGTCTATTTTGTTCCTGATCCGAATTCCCGGTTTTCGCAGATAGAAAGCTCGCTTGGTGGCAAAATGCCGAGCATAAAACCGACTGTAAGGATTAAACAATTTTTATTATTATTCCCTTGTCAAAATGTGATAGTCGATAACTAAAACGTGCAAATTGTTTTAAAAAAAATGCAGGCACTTAGGTTTTACGGGAGTTTTAATGTAACAGTCACTGGCATCACAATCCAAAACAGCGCGCAGTGCCATCTAAAGTTTGACAACTGCATTGGAGTGTCTGTGTACAATTTTACGGTCTCGTCCCCTGGCAACAGCCCAAATACTGATGGAATACATTTGCAGAACTCCAAAGATGTGCTCATTCGCAGCTCCAATCTTGCTTGCGGTAAAATTCTAATCTTTAGGTGAATTATTTTACTCAATTGATTGTTTACCTTGCCTATCTAACTGGTTATATATAAATTTGTAGTAATTCTTGATCCCATGAAGCATAAATTTATTTCATCAATATGTATTTATTATTATCATTATCATCATCATCATCATCTTGATACATGGAGGTTAGTTAGGACAAATTTGTGATCGATTTTGTTACATATCTTATCCTATTGGGCGCAATGTATAACAGCCACATTCTTGACCACTCATACATACACATGAACACACATGTTCTCCATAAAAGGTTTTGGCCCCAGTTTCACATACATTTGTCATTGTCTATATGGTTAATCTGGAAATCCGAGTAGATGTTTGCAGCCCCACAAAAGGAAAACCAGAAAACGAAAAACATATTTTGTTAAATAATCTCACTGAAAGAATCTTCATAATTAGATGAGCTCAGGAATCAATTGCAGCAGAGATGTTAATTGCCTTTCTTTAATTAAATATTACTATTTATTAAGTGAATTAGAACCTAATGTGGGTGTTTGTAATTTCGGAACCTAATCTATGGGATGCTTTTGCTATCAACCTATCTAGTTGTTATGTAACTTAATAATAATTTCTCCCCTTTGGCACTGTGTTTCTCTTTATTTATGTTTTGATATGAAGTGTTTGTTGTGTAAATATTTGTAGGGGACGATTGTGTATCGATACAAACGGGATGCACAAACGTGTACGTACACAACATTAATTGTGGCCCTGGACACGGCATTAGCATTGGCGGGCTCGGAAAAGATGACACCAAAGCTTGCGTGTCCAACATCACCGTCCGAGATGTCATCATGCACAACACCATGAATGGTGTGAGAATTAAGACATGGCAGGTAAAAACAACAATAAAATAAATTCCCAAAATACCCATGGATTTATATTCTGGGTTTAGTTCTTTGACATAAAATTGGTATACAGGGCGGGTCGGGATCCGTACGAGGAGTGCTATTTTCCAACATCCAAGTCTCGGAAGTCCAGCTCCCGATCGTGATCGACCAATACTATTGCGACAAGACCAAATGCAAAAACCAAACAACGGCCGTGTCACTATCAGGAATCAACTACGAGAACATACGCGGGACTTACACTGTAAAACCCCTTCACTTTGCGTGCAGTGATAATGTCCCTTGTACGGATGTCACCCTCACAAACATTAAACTGACTCCACAACAAGAGGGTTACCACATGTATAACGACCCCTTCTGCTGGCAGACTTTCGGCCAGCTTTTCACTCCCACGCTCCCTCCGGTTATGTGCTTGCAGATCGGAAAACCGTCTAGCAACAAGATTTTGGGTGATCATGATTCTTGTTGACTACAAATGAAACAGGAAAACGAATATGGAAATCGGAATATATATGTATATTTATTCACATTCGGTCATTTGGTGGTGTATATTTATTATTATTTTCTTGTTTGTGTGGTAGGCGTGGTCAGGCTGACCCCCTTTCGGCACCATTTCTCTGTGAGTATCGTTAGTTATGCTAGTGTTGGATTTTACGAGTCATTGTTAAGTGAAATCTGGATGAGCTTAGTGTAATGGTATTTGAAGATTTGTTCTTTGAAAATGAGTTGAACAGAGGTATCTGTACTATAGTAGATAAAAATGAACAGTTAATCATTGCTTTGGCATTTAGGCTACCTTTTGGTAGACCTCTCTTTTCCGGCTTCTGGGCCGGTTGTAAGTATGTGTTTTTAGTTATGAATTCTATCGTTTCGAAAAAAAAATAAAAAAATCATTGCTTTGGCTGTTTAAAGGTTTTTCCCAGATGCAGATTAAACTCAATGGATATTATTTTCAGCTTAAGTTTATTAATGTTTTTTGTATACTTCAGACATGTGACCATGTTGATGATTAGGCGGATGCAATGTTGAGTTGTGAGAAAAGAGGACCAGTAGTTCTGATGATAAGATTATTTGGTGTCAATAGACATTTACAATCTTGTATTGGTGATGATACTATAAGAACTTGTGGAGGTCATTTTCTTGTGGAATATCTAATCTATTGTTGGAAACTGCAAGTTTCATGTTTTTAACTACTTTTGCCCATTTTTTGTGTATCAATTTTGAACAAACTTATGTAAATACCTATTAATAAGAGAATCAAAATTTGATCAGCTGCGAAAATTGTTAAATTATGGAGAAAAATTCTCTTGCCGCGTTTAACCCTATCACGGCAACCTTCGACCTAGGGGTCGATCCGCCGGCGCACACCACAGTCACGGAATTCCCATCGCTGCAAGCAAGCACTGCCCCAGCATCCAAGCGAAAGCGTACCCGACAACGTCTGGGAGAGTTCCTCGATCATCCAAGCCCTCAAAACACACATGTTGCGCCATCAGTAGATCTACCTGCCTTAGCGACGAACCCTCCTCTTCGTTGGACATTCCGAGATATGGTGAATAAACACAGATCCCACGTGGAAATGGAACCCGAGGAAGAAGAGGAGTCTGACGAGGCGGAAGAGGAGGTTTCAGTCGACTTCTCAAGCTCGGTGCCGGATGTCAAAATTGCCCAACGCTTCATCGATCGCATCATAAGGAGTGGAAGAACGCGGTGGTGATCAAGCCTTTCGATGAATCCATCACCATGGCGTCATTGTACAATCGTTTGACGAAATTGTGGCCTTTTATGGCAGGGTGCAATATGATGGACTTGGAAAACGACTTCTATCTTATTCATTTCCAGCACCAGGAGGATGCGGTGAAAGCCCTCATGGGTGGGCCGTACGTTATTGGGAATGGACATATGCATGTCCAACCATGGAACATTGAGTTCGACGCCACTAAAGCTGAAGTTACGTCCACAGTAGCGTGGATCCGGATGCCGGGTATGCCCGCCCATCTCTACCACAAGAAAGTCTTCCGTACAATTGGGCGGATAGTGGGAAAGGTTGTCAAAATAGACCAGCAAACGGCAGCCCTCACCCGCGGCAAATTTGCACGACTTGCAGTAGTAGTGGATATTTCTAAGCCGCTTTGTGTTAACTTCTCCATCAATGGCAAACAGCAAAGGGTATTCTATGAAAACATGCCCGTAATTTGCTTCCACTGTGGACGTTTGGGCCACTCGAGTTCCTCATGCCTTCATCTCCCAACACCTAAAGAAACTTGCACCAGCTCCGAAACCCTAGCTACGGACCCACAAAATGGGAATGGCAATGGCAGGAAACCAGCGGCCAGCGGGGAGAAGGACGATGGTGAGACAACCCTGCAATATGGTCCATGGATTTAGGTCCCTCAGCGCGTACGCCAACAGTACCCTCGGCGCGACAAGGGGATGACTCAGCCCGCTAAAAATCCGCACACAATTTCCAATCTCGGGTCTCGTTTTGGTATTTTGGAAAAGGAGTCTAATCCGGAAAATAATTCAAACTTCGAATTCCGTACTCAATCTGCGGAGAGAATCAAGGAGACGGGAAACTTACCAAAGGAGAAGGCTGGAAATTCGGGACAATGGGACTGGCGTGCCGTGAAAAGCAAGAATAAAGGCAGAATACATGGAGCCCATCCAACCGGTGGTAGACGAGTTTGGGCCTGAGCAACAAAGTGGGCCTCAACCTGGATCACTTAAGAAGAATGAAATGGCCCAACCTCAAAGAAACAAAATATTTGTTCCTTCTACGAGCAATATGAACAGAACAAGAACCTCCACTCATAACCCATCGCAGAACCAAGTCGGGCCGACCAGTGTTGGTGCTGGATTGAATCCATCAAAACATAGGGCAATTATTGTTGAGGAGGATCAAAGCACACAAGTTTCAATTATCAACGAATACCAGGATATCAACGTCGACATGCATGGCGATGATGTCATGGTAGAAGGCGAGCATGAGATTCGCCTCCAAGAACCGTGGCCGGAGGAACATCAGTCTCGACGACACCCGGCTGATAGACTAGAAGAGACACCCCAACCTATGGAGAGGGGAGATGAATCAGGGACGCGTGGTCAACTCCACGGATAGGAGCAGCTCTTTAGCTTTATGTTGTCTTTTTTCCCATGAATATTATATCTTGGAATGTGCAAGGAGCCGGTTCGCCTGCATTTCGGGGAGCCTTCTCCACTCTTGTTCAACAACACAATCCGGACATTGTAGCAATATTCGAACCACGCATTAGTGGGGCTAATGTTGACAGATTCGTACGGTATAACAAATTTGAGAACTCCTTCCGTGTTGAAGCCCGATGATTTTCTGGTGGCATATGGCTTCTATGGAGAGAGAGAGGGTGACTATCGATATCTTGGCCTTTTCCAAACAGGTAATGTACGTCCAGGCAAACAAGGATGGAGACGACTGCCTTATTTCCTTTATTTATGCAAGCCCCAACGCTAGTATGCGAAGACGCCTTTGGCCTGAACTGGAGAGACTGGCCTCGGGCATCTCAACACTGTGGCTCATTGGCGGTGATTTCAACTGCCTGCTCCACTCATCCGAAAAGGTGGGGGGATCTCGTCACTCATGTAATACCAGTATTGAATTTGCGAATTGGATGTTTTCCAACGGAATTCAAGAGGTGGCCACAGATGGTCATCTTTTTACG